TACTAAAGTTTATCTTTAATTATGGTTCACTTTCTCTCTGATATCTGGAAGAGGAATGATGCTGGCGTCCCACAAGGCACATGCCTAGGTCCTGTGTATGTGTGTGCAATTGATTATTTACAGACGTGTATCAATTCGTCCTTGTTTTCACGAAGTGACGGTAGTGAGGAAAATCGTAACGCAAAGTGAATGCAATTTTTTTTCACTACCGTCACTTCGTGAAAACAGCGTTTTGAATATTTTACGTCTGGGGGGGGGGCGACTTTTAACGTCACCATCCGAAAGACATGACTCAGTTTCGAACATGCGTCCTCGGCTGAATCAATTTGTAACTTCCATTATAAACTGGAATACAGGCGCACGCCATAACTCCCCGTTGCCCTCTTGGCCCTTACTTTCCTCGTATCTGGCTGTCCCCGGCTGACACATTTTTTTTACACAACTGTTTAGCCATTTCAGTCAAATATACAGTGCAAACGACTAGAGACGGAGTCTAGCATTACCCTTAGCAGTTTTGTTGGATTGCTGGAGCTGTACATGACTTGTGTATATTCGTTATTTGTTTCGGGTTAAATCTATCCTCTCTTCTCTTTCATTATGTATTTCTGTGTTCTCCTTCACTCTATCCTCTTCTCTTTTGTCATGTATTTCTTTTTTTCTCTTCAATCTATCCTTTTTCTCCATCGTTAATTTCTTTGTTTTTCCTTCAACTATCCCCCATTCTCTTTCCTTATGTATTTATTTTGTTCTCCTTTATTCTAACCTCTTCTCTTTTGTTTTAGGTATTTCTTTGTTTCTCCTTCAATCTATCCTTTTCTCCTTCGTCATCTATTTCTTTGTTTTAATCTGACACATTCCCTTATTTCTCCTTCTTTATCTATTTCCCCTTTCCTCAATCTATATCTGATCCTCTTAGCTCTTCAATTATGTATTTTTATGTTCTTCCTTTGACTTATCCTCTTCTCTTTCCTTATGTATTTCTTTGTTTTTCTTTCTCCATATCCTCTCCACTATCCTTGTTTTCCCCTTTCTATCATCTTCCCTTCCCTGGGTGTACGTGCGTGCGCTGACGACCTAGACTCTTTCACCAGAGCACTTCTTGGAATTTTTTCGCGAAAATGGCTAAACAGTTGTGTAAAAAAAATGTGCGCTCCCCGGCTGCCTCTCTCTCGGATCCCGAGAACAAACGAATTTACCCGAGCTGTGTATACATTGATCCTCTCCAACTCCCAAGTCACCTAGGGGGCATTTCACCAAACTCGTCATGAGTGTCACATGACAGTTTTTGTTACAAGCTACTGAAATCCTTGCTTCTGATTGGTTATCACCAGCTTTGTCACTGTTTTTTGTCATTTGTCATTGAAAAAAAAAGGATTTGTGTAACGGGTTTCTGATCAATCTCCTCACTGAATTAATATAATATATATATATATATTATAAAATCCACCATTTCGGTCAGTTTAGCTTCCAATTGCATCACGCGGTTTTTACTGTCCAATAATTGTGTCTCCATGTTCCTTTCAAACCTGTCCAATCTAACCTGAATCATGGTACATTGATCCGTCATAAAATCAAGGAGCGGTACTTCCTCGGTATCAGCGCCCTTAGGTTACGGGAGCCCCGTCTGGCTAGCAGGGCTACTAGACGGTCGTGCATATAATTATGCACGGCCGACTTTTGTTGGATGTGTAATCGATTATCATAGGATGACATTTAATTACAGAAAGAAAAACAGCAACATATTCCAAAATCTAATACAATAAAAACCAACAAAATCCCATTCTAAATTCATTTGCAGAGCAAATATGCTGTTCAGTAGTTAATTGTTATGTTTATAGGTCTTTTCTCCCGAAAAAAAAATGTATTTGAATCGGAATTGGACAACTAGTTATTATAACCAAAATTAACTAATATTAAGTACTTAATATATTAAAAATGATACATAAAGTAGTATTATCGTTAAATCTGCAATGGTAGTCATTGCAAAATCAAATTTTGACGCGCACAACCAATGAGGTTGCGCTAATTCCGGAATCGTTAAAGATATATATATACTTGAGTTCTGGTAAAAGAAAGAAAATAAATTAATTTCTCACAGAATCAAACGAAACTTACGCTGAATGTTCAAGATTACAAATAAATGTCATTTGCCAAACAATTCCAGTAGAAAATGTATACTGGCTGAGTAATGAGCATAGAAAGATAAGGAAGTCAAGGCAGGTAACCCCCGACACAATTTGTGTAGTCCCATACACATCTTTCTGTGTACAGTGCTTATTACTTTACCAAGACTGGGCCAAATTTATTAAGATTTTGATGACCCAGAACCTTGCAGTACACACCAATACTTACATGATCAACTTTTTCTGATCCATTCCACAAAATAATTTTCTTTCACAATGCAATCGCATGACCAGAACTCACCTTTATCTTAAAAGAGATCGTGTAACAATGTTAAATCAGAGATGCACTGCCCTACGTGTTATCAGTGTCTGGATATGGTGTTATATTGAAGAAGAAAAAATTACTCTTCAAAATGATCAAGAAGTGCCTCAAAAAAGTAAAAACCTTTGAGTGACCGGTTTTTCAATTCTCGTTCCCCCCAATAGACTGTTGTGTTATGAGAACCGTTTGGCAAACGCAAAATTTGATTTCGATTTTCAATCATAAATATTTTGATAATCAGACAGGCGATCGGCTTGTAAAAGTCGTGGGGTTCCTGACTGACCTAAAGGTTTATAATTATCATTGCAGCATGAGCTTAATCAAGGATTTTTGTTTTAAGGATCTAAGAAAGAATTACGGGATCCCTTTAAAAGCTGACCAAAAAAATTGGAAGCGCTCATACGCGTGCGCAATCAGTCAGAGCAAACATGTATTTAGCAAGTATTTGTTTCTATAATTTAAACCTTTAATGAGTATTGTATGATTAATCTACTAGTACTTTTGGGCCACCAAGGCCATTGTGGAAAACAGTTTTATACCTGACCATGCCACCCTGTAAAAAGATATATATATATATATACTAACAGATAAATAAATAAATAAGTAAATAATAATAAGGATAACGATGATAATAATACTAATTGATAAGATTTTTGTTTTAATCGTTATTTTAATTTTATTCATATTAAAGCCTGTCTGCACTAGTATGGCGAGGAGGGATTAGACCTCCCTGCCGTGGTCGCTGACAGGTGTTTATCTCATCAAATAAGCTCTCAATTAACTTTTTTTTAAAGGGGATCATGGGGAACAACGGTACCGCTTAGGCGTTGTTTTTATATAGAGGGCGCAAGTAGTGCAGACAGGCTTTAAAAGTTCTGATTGTATGATAATTAAAATTGCAGTTATTAAGAAGATGAACCGTACAAAACTGATGATGAAACAGCATTGGAGAGCGGGGCTCCAGGCATGCTAGGTAAAGATTAATGCCTCGTAAGCCATGACAGTTAAATGCAAACATACGATCTCAATTACAGGGGTTCTGGGCTGGTGATACAGAAATACAACAAGGGGGGTGTGATTGACATAGATTGAAGATTGAGAGAGAAAGAGAGGTGTTTTTCTTTTGGGGGGAGAGAGAAGTGAGAAGGGGTTAGGTCTACACAATCATGATCGCACACACCATTACTGAGCGCAGATGAACTTGCATTATCATTTGGCGGAGCGTTGAAGTACATTTTAACCGATCGCATTGGAATACGCATGGGTCACGGTTTTCGGATTATGAGGTTTAAAGGCGGGTATTAGGGACTTTTAGATTGAGTGGACGAGAACTCGACGACCGCCGACTGATCATGCGTGTCAACGTATTCAACTGCCCATGTTGACTACAATTAGAAATCCTTTAGATTCCACTTGACGATATACATGCATGCAGGAAGTAACACTATGAACATGACGTACAAAGAAAGAGGACAAAATATACAGTTCCTCATTCTACCCCCAACAATTACTTTGGTAGACAAAAGAACACCCCTTCACTGTTATTATGTAAACATGTGTAGAACATGTGAATATGCATGTGACACCTGTTCTACACATTTTTACATTATAGCAGGAAAGGGATGTTCCTTTGTCTACCTGAGGAACTGTATATTTTTTTGCGCACACGGCATACTAGTACCGTACTAGATTTAGGAAAATCAAGATTGACGCATTCTCGATCACCGACTGAGACGACGTAACGCATGCGCAGTGACTTAAAATGACGTCACACGTTGCAGTCAAAGCTTTCGACGTGCAAATCTAAAAGTCCCTATTATTATTGGGGGGAGCGTAGAAGTACATTTTAACCGATCGGATTCGAATGCGAATGAATCGCGGTTTTCGGATTGTGACGTTTAAAAGCGGGTCTCCAAAATGAGATATATCAAATCTGATTGATACATACCATTACCAAAGAACCAACAACACATCGCACAAACACATACACACATACTCCCCACAAACACACAAAACCGCCCACACGCACTCACGCACACGCACTCACGCACAACATCCACGCACACACACGAGCGCACGCAAACGTCAAATCACCCCCATCGCACAAAACAATCACGTTAGTAGTCAAAGTAAATGACTTCAACCGATGACCTAGTAGGTCCATGATTTAACCATTTTGAACGTAGTCCAAAATAACAATGACAATGTTTACGCAATGGTGTACACCAGCGGACTGGAGTTGCCTAAGGTCTATGATCTGACCGAGAAGACAGCGCAACGTAACGCGCCGGTCAGGCTGGCAGGAAAGTGCCCATCCTCGTTGATCTGGCCTGCTATGAACCATGGATCTAAATCTCACTTTCTTTATCTTTATCCCATCAACAACAAGATGAAGTTATGTAAACATTTCTTTGTTTTCTATTGCGATGAGGATGAACCACACATTTATTACGAAAATTAATATAAAGTTGGATGCGTAAAATCAATATTCATTATGAATGAACACCCAATCACAAAAACAACAACAACAACAGCATCCAATGATAGGAAATAAACTTTGATCACGTGGTTCACTCACCGCAAAATAGAACGACGTTCGTCTTGGAGTAGGCCGTCATAACGAGACAAGCCACAAAGGAGAGCATGGATATCTGCATAGTGCAATGGTCCGAGAAAAAGAGCCGAAGCACGTAGCCACCGACTACGAGACCTACGCACAACAAATATAGTGCACGATAAAAGATTTAATATTAACAATAACAACAAAAATAATATCAATACTACTTCTATTAATGGTAATAATAATAACAACAATAATACAAATTGTAAATGATGGTAATAATATCAATAAATAAAAGGTTTGAAAAAGATGAATGAGAAGAATGACATTGAAAATGATTAAAATAACAAAATCAATGTTAATTATAATCACAATAATCATCATCATAATTATATAATAATAATTGCGGAGCGCCAGGAGTGTGAAGTCTGACAACCACTATTATTGTTATTATTATTAATAATAACAATAATAATAGTAATGGTAATAACCGTTAGCTTATATACTGCAGGGTAAATATATTCTAATTGTATGCTTTCTAACTGTACACAATGTTTTGTTAAAGGTGATTGGTACACTTTAAATGTATTGACTTACCAAGCCCAGCGAAGATGAAAGTCAGACCGTTGAATATACCGATGAGGGCAGCCGACCAACAAAATGGCTCTCCTGAAAAAGAAAAATATAGAGAGAATAACAAAACGACACGCTGCATAGAATCTAATTAAAATATTTGTTGAGTGAAATAAAGGCATTCAATAATTAACTGAGTGATATGTATTTTGTATAATCGTTAACGCTGAACTTTCTAAATAAAATCACAGCTCCTTTTGAATATTTCCTTCCAAAAAATTACTTTCTAATAATAGAAATACATTTGGGGATCTATACACTCCCCCTCCCCCCCCCCCCCCAACCTCCCCCCCCCCCCCACCCCCTCCCACCTACACACAAACATTGAAAGAGCATTGAGAGGGTTGAGTGGATGCCTAAAGTTGTAATACTTTCAAAAGTTGATGTCGGAGAATGAAAAGTCTCCCACCCCGACAACATTTCGGAAAACCCTTCCCCCCCCCCTCCCGGCGCCCCCGCCTTTATTTTTGACTTACCTTCTGCAAAGAGGACATTGGTCGACAGGAATGACACGATCATGAGAATAGACTGAAAGAGAATGTAGTTATATGAAATCATCTTCCAGCATCGTCCCTTCGGATCCGGTCGGAAGAGATCGGCTAAACTTCGGAAGAACTTCGCCATGTTGAAGTCACTTCGCGGTGATGGCACGATATCTGCCGGCTGCTCTCCGGGGACCTTTCCGGTTACGCTCGGATGGCTTTCGGGGAGGAGGTAGACGTACAAAGTGCATAGGACCATAATGCAGAGGATGGCATAGTAGACGGGTGGGTAACCTATGGCTTCGATCATGAAACCGACTAGCACTTGCCCCGCTCCAGCCCCGAGAGTTGTAAGGCATTCCAGAATAACCATGCGGTACGTTCGCTGCTTGCTCGTCGTGGTGTCCGCGACGTACGCGAATGAGCACGCCACCAACGTCAGGAAATCGCCACAGAGTCCTAACGGAATCGCCCCAGCGAATAAAATGTACAGCGACCAGTGGAATTGGGCAACCAAAGCATAGACGATGGAGTAAATCGCAAAACCAACGATCGGAAACAACATCGCGATACGACGCCCTCTAGCGTCGCTTAAAGCCCCGAGGAAGTTGGCCGAAAATAATGCTGGAATGGATTGCGCAACCGCGAGATAGAGCGTCCAATAGGACGTCTGTGTTTGAACCTCAAGGTATCGATCATACTCTTCAGAAGATGTATTCAGAGAGCAGACGACACTGGTATTCGTTGAAGGTTGGGTGAAATTAGCCTCTTCAGACAGCCGCTTGTTGAGGTATTCCACCCGAATAGTCACCAGCAAGCCATACGCCAGCATGAACGTGACAGTAAGTGGCTCAACGATGAGCCTACTCCTCCACGATCTTCTTGCCGGCGATGGGTTATTGTTTGTGGCGATGGTTTTGTCAGATTCCATGATTGTTCTAGATGCGAGAAAGAAAGAGAAAAGTGTCAGGAAAAAAGGTTGTTATCATGGATGTATTATTATCGTCATCGGAAGCATCATTACCATCAAATGAAGAATAATTAGCAACACGCTAAAACGATACCACATAATCATCATCACCATCACGACATTTTGATGTTCATCATGAACATTGCCATCAACAAACGCTATCATTCACTTTGCTCTATGTTTTCAGCTCAGGCACAGAAACTTGGAGCGTACGTATTTCACTTATTTTAACCTCATATTAAAGGCCCACTGCACTACTTGTAGCTATTTGCGCCCTCTATATAACAAACAATGCATAATCGGTGACCATTGGTCCCCCATGATCCTCTTTTTCTTATGTTAACTGAGAGCTGAGTTGATGAGATAACCACCTGTCAAGTGCCCTTGCAGGGCAGTCTAATCCCTCCTGTAAACTAGTACAGATAAGCTTTAAAAAAAAAACGCCGCGGTTTTGCCGGGTCATATCTGAATGACCGTATCCGGACACCTACCTCCTGGACATCCAGCCCCCGGATAATCACACCCAGTCAAATTACTAACCCCTAGGACAACTACCCCTAGGGCAACCACCCTATAGGACGACTACTCCCCAGGACAACTACCCCCGGGACAACTAACTCCCAGACAACCACCCCCTACGACCACTACCCCCGGACAACTCCCCCCCAGACAACTACCCCCTAGGATAGTTGTCCTAGAGGATGGTTGTCGTAGGGGTAGTTGTCTGGGGTAGTTGTCCGGGGTAGTAGTCCGGGGTTAGTTGTCCGGAGGTAGTTGTCCTAGTGGGTATGTCCTAGGGGTGGTTATCTTGGGGGTAGTAGTACGCGGGTAGTTGTCCTTGGGGGTAGTCGTCCTAGGGGGCAGTTGACTGTGGATGGTTATCCGGGGGGTTGATGTGCAGGGGGAAGGTTTGAACGCGTTATAGTATATATTATGTTGGCATTAAGAGTGATATTGCATTTTACTCCAATCTCGGTATAAAATGCTTTTAAAATATTCTTTTAAAATTTAAGGAACAAAGAGTGTCTTCCACAGATTCACTTTTTCCTCCTACATTCATTTCGTCAAGAAAGCACTTCTGGTAGAAACCGACATCGCCTACACATTTTAACACAATTAAAACTACTTTCGAAAGTATCGTCGCTTATTCCAATAGTTATGTCCTTCACATACAATCATGACCGGACATTAAAATTACGTCATCTACGTATTACGTAATATTGAACATGATAGATATGGGATAAACAATAGGGTATTGGAATTACTTTTGATTTGATTTATAGAAAGGCTTTACAATCGCTTTACATGTACAGTTTAACAAGTGCAAATGTATTTATCCAGGTTTTTGTTATGATTTATGTGACATATTAAAGCTTACATCTGAAAGTATTCAATAAATGCCCTAATTCAACCAATCCACCTTTTATTCCTTATCAAGAAATGTGAAAGAATCCATCTGAATTCAAAAAATGATTTATGATTATGATTTCCTTCAGCACTGAATAAGGTCTCTGGCTATTCATGATTGTCACTCATAATACTTTGCTCCACTGATTCCGGGGGAGCTGACAGCCAGAAATTGTGTAATTCGAATAATCAATTGGCTTGAGAAAGTCCACAGGAGGGGACAAAAGCTTGCCCACTAAATTTCAGTTTTTGGTAGATTTTAGATGACTTTTTGTTATGATTTTCCCCAACTAATTTATGTATCTTACACCGACATATTACGTAATCCGAACTCTTCTGTGGGATATACAATAGGGAATTTTAATCCCTTTTGCATTGATGTCTCGAAAGTCTGTGCGATTATGCTTCCGACATAGCAACAACTCCAACATAATACCCACATTCCGCTTACCTAAGACGACATAGAATTGGATATATCAATATTTTTCAGATTAATAGTAAAAAAATTGAACTGCTTCGAGTAAATACGTCGACAGTTTGCAGTCATTATAATAACAACAGGTAAAACATTACGATAAAAGTAAACAATGTATACCGTACCTCCTCAATGTTGACTTAAGGCAAGCAAAGGCTGTCCGCGATAGGTCCTATGGTTCTATAAGATAGACGCTCGATTGTGCCGCTCAGTTACAACTCGTCATGAGACCAGCTACGTAAAGGAATTTTGTTAACCTCTATATATTTTCCGTTTTAGTCAGGGTACCCGTAGATTTAGACATGCAGGACATTGAGAGCTAATATATATGCGATTAGTCCTGATATGTGCTGAAGACGTGTATACATGCAGTGATCAGCACGTTTAAATACCCTGGTAATTCGGCGTGCGTAATTCTGACATGCGCCGCCTGGTGTCACGGCCGTTGTTGTCCGCATCTCGAGGAGGATCCGCCCAGATGATTTGAACTTGGTTTGAAACGTCAGTCACACCACCGATATAGTTTGCAGGCGCGTACTCTTGTCTCTTGGTGTGTGTTATAGTGTCTGTAATAGTAGACTACAGAAAGGTGTGTACTTTAGTCGCTCTGAGCTGTGATACAGCCAGAAACTGACAGGTCTATGCTCTGCTCAATTAGGTTTTAGGAAAAGTGGTAAAGTTTATAAAATTAGAGTTTGGGCTTCCATACTGCAATTGCCAGGTATCCATTACACCAGGGGGGGGGGGGTTGTTTCATAAAGCTGTTCGTAAATTTACGCATGACTTTACTAACGAATTGTATATGAAAATCCAAACGGGATGCTCCATCATTATTAATTACATCAACTAAAGTTGAACTGTGCAGATGTAGATTAACATTCTTATGATAACAAACATTTTTAATGCAAAGTATATTTTTTGCCATAATTTAATTGAGGTAATTGAAAATATCAGAAAAAACTTTGGGCATCCTATCTGGCACTTCATATGCAAGTCGTTCGTAAATTCATGCGTAACTTTACGAACAGCTTTATGAAACACCCCCCTGGGTGGAGAGTGCCGTACTGGGATTCAAACCCAACCCTAATCCCTTTAGGCAAGCGCTATATGCCACGACACCTCCTCCATCGAGTATAACGATATGGTATCAAAATCCATGCCCTTGAGTTGATTTTGTCTTCAAAACAGTTGTGATTTTGTGCTTGGTTTACGTCGACTTTTCATTGGCCAAACTTAAATTCAGCGTCTAGTAGGTAGTAGGATACGGACCGACGTGTCCAGCCCCTAATAAAGTTTATTTCTCCATCAATGATAATGCACATAGAAGGGCTTGTGATCGACTTAATTAATTGGATGGCGTTGATGGGACAATATTTCCGGCGGACAATTACCATCGTTACACCGGGTCAACAACTTGTCAACGCAACTCTTGTATCACAAACAGAGATAACGCCTAACCTCGTTCTACTATAAGGGATGCGCGTTATCTTGTATCGGTCATGTGCAAATAAAATCTGTTTATCACCGACTAAAGTGGAACGCGGCTTGTTGAACCACTATTTTGTGGAACACAGTGGTGGATCCAGGGGGCCAGTTCGACAGGGGCCTCGCCCCTGGCAAAAAAAGAAGTCAAAAACACCTTTGAAAAAAGGGGGAAAAGAGCCCCCACCCCTGGCAAAAAAAAGTAAATTGTTTTTTTGTTATCAAGGGGAGAGGGGGTGTTGAGGAAAGAAAAAAAATCAGTGCTCATTACCCCCCCCCCCCTCCCCTTCCCTGCTTATTCAGCGTGAAAAAAAAAGTGATCCCTAGACTTCCACAACATCCCCTCTCTTGGTGACCCCGTACTCTCTCGGAGATGTTTTTCGAACCTACCCATTGCATTGGTATGTATATTTGTAAAGCGCTTAAAGACATTTGTATTAAGCGCTATATATGAATTAAATTAGGTGATACGTAACGAAGTCAACGTATCACCTTTTGATTTCGTCAAGATTTTTCTTTATTATTATTATTATTATTATTATTTATTTTTATTATTCTTCCTCGAATTTGTTCGCAGGATATCTCAAGACTGAATAAAGCCATTATCATGAAACTTTCAATGATGATAGATCTTAGTCTAACTTAGAACTGTGTGACTTTTCAGACAGTCAAGGTCATCGTGACGTCATCCAGGCGCCATTTTGTGAAAATCAACTTATGATCATATCTTCATAAAGGAAAGCCATTTTTCATTCATATTTATCATGATTAAACTCAATATCCGTCCGGTCAATTTCAAGTCAATAAATGCGCGCAAAAATGCGCGTACGCTTATGTCCGCGCGTTTACGCGCGCGAAAAAAATTAAAATGCTCCAAATCATCCCAATTTTTTTTTACATCCGTTTCAGGCCATATGGAGCATTTGATAAAAAAATTACGCACACGCGCATGCGCGCGCATTTTCGCGCGTACTGGCATTTTGCAATATAGAATCGCCGAATTTTTTCTGTCATTATATTTGATACATTTTTCCAAGCATTTTGATAACTTGTTCACCTTTTAATAACGCAATGAGCGTCCGTCAAAGTTGACAGCACGCGCAGATCTGCGTTATCTTTATCCACCATACATTGGCAAAAACATGCCTATACAAAATTCATTGTAACTGTTCAGAATGGATGGGAACTCCCAATATGTTTTCATATTTAGATAGATTATGAGTTGGAGATATGATTTCATGTCTCATTTGACCCTCAATTAACTCATGATGTCATCATAATGGCCTCCAAACTCAAAATTTCAATTTGCATATTATAACGTCAGCATATTTTTGGAAAATTAATTGTATCTCTGTAAATATTGATCAATTTTCTTTTAAATTTTGAAATGTTCTAGCTGAGACAATTTGCTACAAGTATAGTTGCCACAATTTTTCATTTTGACTAAGGCATCAAGGCGTACTTTTGCGATTAAAGGAGGCATGTCATTTTTTCACATTTTGCGTGTATTCTCTATGGGACATGACTTTTTCTCAAAACTGGATTCTACACTCCTGTCTTTTGCGAGCGAAATCTCCCATATTTTAGCTTTGTTTTCGCTGAGCTTCGAATATGTTGTAGCTGAGACAATAAGCTATCACACGTGTGCCTTTTATATTTCGATCAGATGCCGGGATTATGCTCATATTTCACTTGAAAAGTAGGATTTCTGAATTCCATTTCCCGTTTACGTGTAATCGCTATGGGAGATGTTTTGGTATATCGGTAACGCACTTGACTTCCAACCTCGAGATCACTGGTTCGAGTCCGGGTGTCTCCAACAATTTTTTGCTTCACTTTTTTTTTCCTTTTGACCTTCACTGTACCATCTCCTTTGATTATTTAAACACGTAGATTCGCAAATAATGTCATAAATAACCCTTTTTACTTTATTATTACCCTATTTTCACTTAATCCATTACTTTTTGCGTGTAATCCCTATGGGAGATGACTTTTTCTCAAATCTGGAGTCTACATTCCTGTCTTTTGCGAGCAATATCGCCGTTATTTCGGCTTGGATTTTGTTGATTTTTGAGTATGTTGTAGCTGAGACTATATGCTATCTAAATCAACCCTCATTTTTACAATAAGATGTCATGATCGCGCTCATGATCATCATTATCATAATGATGATAATCATTTATCAATTACATTTTCATTTCTTTGAATAAGATAAAATCGTCAAAAGGTGTTCTTCATGATGTAAATTAGAGTCAAATGTGTAACTGGTTACTGCACTGGTTCAAAAGTCATATATTGTTTCAATCTATCTTCCCTAGATCCATGATGATCAAGGAGACACAATTTAATCTTGACATATGAATAGATCATAATGGGAGAAGCATATGAATGGGAGAAGCATTTTACAAAATAATATATCGTGTAATGCATTATTCGTTATGTAAACCATTATCATACGTATCACCTAATTCGTCTAAGTGACGAATTAAAGTCTAGTATTATTATTATTATTATTAAACCTAATGACAAAACACTGATGAAGACAGAAATTCAAATTGACAAATGCAAAATTGAAGAATTAGCATAAAATGAACTTTTATTATTTCAACATAAGCATGAAACATCAACTATACAACATTTCTGTAATTCATATGGTTCGTTCAGTTCTGAATTCTTTCGAAATTCCTGCAATTGGTAAGTAAAGTAATACCAGTCACAGAAATTGGTTCGTCCCCACCCCCCCCCCTCAAAAAATAACTTGATAAACTAATCATAGCTCTCTCTAACCAGACATCAGGGGTAAGTCCCATTATATTTGATCTGAATTCTCTAATTTGTTTTAATTAAAAATAATTCTTGTGTGAAATCTATTCTTATAATAATATACGCCTGTATAAAAAAGAAAAGAATATAAACTGTTTTTCTATGTAAAATGTGGAATAAATAAAACTTCAAACTTCAAACTTCAAACTTCAAACAAAGGAAAAACTTATACCTCATTGTAACTTCCATTTTGAAAGTCATCTTTATTTAAACCAAGAATGAACACATCATCTAGTTTAAAGATAAACTTGAGTTCTGGTAATGCGATTGCATTGTGAAAGAAAAGGTGTGGAATGAATCAGAAAAGTTGATCATATAGCATGTAAGTAATGGTGTGTAATGCAAGGTTCTAGAGTCATCAAAATCATCATAAATTTGGCAGAGTCTTGTTAAAGTAACAATCACTTACACAGATAGATGTATATGGGACAACACACATGGTGTCGGGGCTAGTACTACCCTGATTTCCTTATCTTTCTATGCTCATTACTCAGCCAGTATACATTTTCTTCCAAAATTGTTTGGCACATGACATTTATTTGTAATCTTGAACATTCAGTGTAAGTTTCGTTATATTCTGTGAGAAATCATTTTCTTTTTTTACCAGAACTCAAGTTTATCTTTAATTGTTAGTAGTGTAGAGGGCCACGTATGTCAATGCAGTAAATAACAATTTTGCGTGGATAATATAGAGATGTAATGTACACATTGATTGAAATATTCAGAGGGTTCAGTTTAACCCAACAAAGAAAAAATCATTTTGCGTAGACTTTGCGGACAGTCGCCACAATTAGTTCGATAGTTTGGATTCCGTGCGCTGCGTCGTTTCATCCTCGCTCTCGGAGTCATACTCGCTCTCAGAAGAGTCTGGATGATCGAGTCTAGCATGAATAGATTCTTTTCGCTCTATGTCCTCTATCTTCTCAGAGGCGACGAGTTTTTCTAGACCCGACATCTTGATTTTGGCATCCGACTCGGCTGAGTCCGGCGAATCACGTACTAAACTCATTACCAGTCGTTTGAATCGATCGTCCTGGTAAACCTTCAGCTCTCTC